GGCTATCTGTGGAGATTGCAAGGTAGCTGCTAGCGTCCGCAGGACCTTGTTACTCCTTTTATCATTTCTTCTTTTGGATTGTATTGACAGTTAGACAGTTTCATTTCTTAGTTCATAGATTTAGACGCTCATGACTTAGTGACACCCCGATGTTTGGGGCTCGTTTCCGTATTTTCTATATTATATTTAGAGTTGATTTAGTTTATGAGAAATTCAAATGTTGGAAATGTTTTATTAAATTCTTATAATCGGTTTAGTAGAAATATTTTGGAAAATAGGCTTGCCTTGTAACACGATAGGCGCCATCACGACCATGGTTAGATTTTGGGTCGTGACAATCTTCTGCCCAGAATATAAGAGATGAAAGAATGGAGAACTACAACAACCGAGTGCGAAGACAGGTATGAGCGCTATGAAACAATCAACGATAGAATAAGGAAGCATAGCAATATTTAAAAAAAAAGAAGGCCAAAGCTACCTTCAGAAAACATTCGCCTGTCCCTCTCCACTTGCAATTTGATATGTCTACCACCCATTTGTAAGTCCATTTCTTTTTCTGTAGCATGTCAACTTCTTCTTTGGATAACTTGTGATCCAAATGAGAGTGAAATGAGCTGCATGCATGGAAAGAACATACTAGGTTAAGAATTTTCATAACTTCTTCTGACTTATAAAATCTTTCCTCAACCATCAACCTAGTACAAGCTTTGGATCTGGATCAGTCCAATTGCCTTTAGATTATTATTACCCTATCTTCTCCTTCAAACCAGGACAACTTTGAGGAGCAAGTGATACAACAAAACCATCACTAATGTGCACATTTCATGTGGAAGAATGCAGTTTAAGAGTAAAAGAAGCAACCGATTCAGAATGGCACATGATTCACTGCATCTTGTCTGTGATGGATTGTCAATGAAGCATTTAGATATTTCCACTAATTAACTATTTATGATAAGTAGATGTTCATATACTATAATACAGTGTTAACATATCTTTTGTCCAATAGTCTTTTTCAGCCAACCAAACATTTAAAGCAAGTGGACACTACCAAAACCAAACACTCTCCCAGTCTTTTAAATCTGAAACTCATAGCAATCTGGCAGTAATATTGCACAAGTAATGTACTCTGATTTGTTCCCAAAGGAAGAGACATGTGCATTATATCGAGAATTTAATCCAACAAAATCATGAAACATAAACAAGTGAACAAACACAATTATTTGAGCATGAAAGGGAAATAAAACAAAAGGCGACAAACTCAATTAAAACTAGTCGGACCTCGTGCTAGCACAAGCCCCTTTGGTAGGTTGACCAATGACTCTCAATTCCTGTTCTTCATCTGAACCAGAGGCCTCCGAATCATCGTCGTCAGTTTCGGTACCTCCAATCTGTCCCACTGGGTTACCAAGACCACCTCCATGTAGACTAGCACCAGGTTCGCAAAGTCTAGAAGCCTCACTATCACTGCCTATTTCCAAACACAAAATTGGAAGAAAAAAAGAATTTAAGATCAGCTATAGAGTTGACATTTCTGAAAGACCATTCATTTCCAATCTTACTTATATGTGCTAAAAGTCCCGGTCTCGCCCTAAACAACTTAGAATTAGAAATAACCACCTTAAGGAACTCAAAGATTATGGAATGTAAGAGCAAATAAAGAGCATAAAACATCCAGCAATAACGTTCACACAACTAAGAGTAAGATGCAGAAATTCTCACTAGTCCTGAAGACCTTACCTTCATTTTCATCATCAGACGCACCATGAGCTTGCTCAACATCATCTTCATTTTCTTCTGAGTCTGTGTTATATTCTTCTCGTTTTGTCCTACAATTGCACGCAATTCACAAACCATTTTCATGATATAATCACAAGCAGCTTAATGGTTCCAAAATACATGAAAAAAGGAGATGATCGTCACATTCCACAACCATTAGAATTCATTGTTTCAAGAAGGTCCTAATAATCCAACAAAATTTCAGCAATCACAAAGAAACTAAGTAAATGGAGCGGAATCAATATTGTAGATTCATATAATTGGCCTCAACTAGTTTGAATTGATGCATACTTTTGTTGTTTTACAAAAGCATAAGCAATTATTTGCAAAACCATTATTACTTTATAGGTACCCAATTCGACGCATAAAAAGGATACATAAACAACACAATCCTCATGAATCATGATGCCTTGAAGCAGCAACAAATCTTAATTCACTGGCTTATCAAGCCTAATAGTTGGATAAGGTACAGAGAATGGAAATGCAAAAGTTCCTCACATCAGAAGATACTTCCTTTCCTAAAGTACCTTATGTGGTGGATTATGTGTTGTAACTTTGTTTGTGTACCAAAGATGTCGACTTTGCTTTAATTTAAAGAATATAGAGCTCGATAGTTTAACATAAAAAACATAACCAAATACAGAACACTCAAAACTTTTCATTTTCTTCCACAAATAAAACCTGCATTTGACAATTCAAGCAACCATCATCACAAGTATTTGACAGATACAAGCAACTATATTTTTTACCTCAATGACTCCAACAAACTGTCATACATTGTTGGCTCCTTATAATTCAAAACTTCTTCTTCTTGTTGTTCCTTTTGTGCTTCGACTTCTTCTATCTCCGAGTTTTCTTCTCCGGAATCAGCTATTAACCCACCACCCAAAAAGAAAAAGATTTAAAAAAATGAGAACTTTCGGCAAATAACAGAACACAAACAAGGAAAAATCGGTTCTTTTTATTACTCTGATTATCGTATTTCATGTATCACAGCTACGAGTTTCTTCACAATCATTTATGGTTTGAATGAGTTTACCTGAGACACTTGGAGAGGGGCTTCTATTGAGCTTTTCTTCTCTACCAAATCGACCATTCTTCTTCTTCTTCTTCATATTCTCGTTCTTTGTAAAAGGTTTCAGTTCAACTCTTCTCTTAATGCCTATACCAAATTTCAGACACGAAAAGAAAAAAAAAACGGATAAGTTAAAAAAAAAAGTTGCAAAACAAACAAAAACAATAATTGATATTGAGGAGTAAACAACCTCGTTTTCTGCCAAATCGTTGGTTGCCCATTGTGCTGCAATTCAATGAGGAAAAGAGTTTGCTTCTTTTCGAAGGGTTTAAGAGAAGGGTTTTAAGGTTGTCTGAAATTTTTGCGAAGTTGTGTGGCGTTTGATGAACCGGGTAAGATTTCGACCGGTTAGACGGCGCCGCCGAAGGTGTTATTTGAACCGGGTTTTACGAATTGGACTTTAATAAATGTATAGAAAAGTAGAACCAAAAAAGATTAAAAAGGCTAATCCACCAACTAATCAGTGGAGAGGGCTTACGCTTACCAATGGGGACTTCTACTTTCTAGGGTTGCGTCTATAGCACTTTCTCTGCGCATGGTTGTAATTAAATTAATTAATTTGGATTACTATAATTAATTTTACTCTCGGGGTGTAAAAACTTGGGGAAACCAAAAAAGCAAAGGTTTAGCAAAAATGAAACTCTCCACCTTTAAGAATAAGGTAACAAATTTTTTTACGCTTCAGATCTTTAGTAGCGCATTTCTGGAGTTTTATTGCGTTTTGCACCTTTAAGCGTGTGTCTCTTTTATATTTTGCATTACATTTGATTATTTTTAAGGATTGGCGCCTTAATTTCCTTAATTTCTTTGCAAAACCATAAAAGAAATCCTTTCCAGAATTTATAAGGGCAAAATAGGCATAATTTAACTCTTTCTACCAAATATCATGTGCTTTTACTTTCTTTATTTACGGGTCATTACCTTGGATCTAATTATCTATCTATCTATATCTATATTATTATAAAAGTATGAATAATTTATGTTAATGTTGAGCGACTAAAATATTCCCAAAACTTTGATAGACTTTTATGCCCTTAAATATTTATATAATTTAAGGATCTAATTGTAAATTATTTAATGTTTGAACTCCATATACACTATGTATAAATTCCTACTCTATCAATATCGAGAACTTCTAATTCAACTAAAAAGTGGTAAAGTTGAAAATAATTATGAATTTGAACAAGCTTCTAACACCAATCACGTTCTAACTTTTCATTTATTTACCATATGTGTTCTACTTATAATGTGGAAGTTCTGTACCAATCTTACATGGATACAAGCACTTTTAAACACTTATCGACATGGACAAGGACACTTTGTATAATTTATATATGTCTACCTCAAACAAATTAGGTAGTATTTATTGTTTGGAATATCAATCTTCTAGAAGTAATTTAGTAGTTTTGTTCATTACATAATTTTCTCTCAAAGATTAGTTTCATGTATCTAACTTAACAAGTTTAGACATAAACGAAGTATCAAACTCGTAGAGGAAGCAAGCGCACAGCTGCATGTAGTAGCATTTGAGCTTTGGCGGAGTGAGTAATTTACTTCAACAGCTTTGTCTGTTAAATCTAGTTAAGATTTTTTTTTTATTAATAATTTCATAACATGAATTCCTTCTCGAGATTAAAAATAAAAGGAGTAAGTTGTAACGATCTCAATGGAGAATAAACTATGTAAGCTTGGCTTCTTATTCCAGTGTATTATTTATCCGTCCCAATATGATGACTTTATTTAATAATGCGCTTCATCATTTGTTGTTACACTCAGAGGACATAAGTCATTTCAGAGGTAATTTTTTTTTTATTCCAAAGGTAATTTAATGAATTTTCTCTTAAAGCTTAACTTAATATATCTAATGGAGAATTCATGAAGTATACCAGCATGCACTACATTGCTATTGTTGTTCTTTCTTTAAAGGTAATTTAAAAAAAGAACTGATATCTTCTTTGTTTTTGTTGATCTTACGCTTCACGTTAACAGACCCAATGGGAATATCAGTATAAATTTTTAACACAATTCTGCAAATTAGGACTTAGGAGGGTATCATTTATCCAGTTCTCTTTTCTGTTATAAAATTATATTATCATACATAATGTCTTTCTTAAAATACTTATATAATAAAATCATCTACAATTAAGGATTTCACTCTTCTCAAGAATTTATTTTAAAATTTAAAAGCCTAAAGCATGTTGTCCAAAGATCTCACAAACCCTATTCTAATACATATCTATATTGTACTTGTCAATCGATACACAACTTGCATCATAAATAATATTAAATAAAGATACTATGAAAGACCTCCCTTCAGGTTTGGTTTCATAACACTAACATCCTTTATGGTTCACCATATTCCGTTTACCTCCCTTATTTTATATTTGATGTAACAAAATTATTAATTGACTAAAAATAGACAAGTTTGCCCTAACAAGTTTTTCTTCTATTTTGTATGACAAAGCTTCTTTTACTTTTATTAGTAACCACTTCTACGAACAAATAATACATTCATGCTACTCAATTTTTTTAAATGATATCCATGAATATTAAGTGATGAAACATAATTGCATACGTATTTAGAGGCCCTACAACCGGAAAGTCAAAAAATTTAGCGATCAAACATCAACGTGACATTGTTATCGTGCAATGCATGTTCATAGAAACTCTTATTATTATTAAAGCACGAATAATTTATGTTAAATGTTGAACGACTAAAATATCCTCAAAATATTAATCGACTTGTATGACCTTAATGTACAGTTTAAGGATATAATTGTAAATCCCAAGACTAGAATTCTTTTTCGATTTAAACTACACATATATCGACCCTACAAAGTTGATTTTGGGTTCATTTGAGACTTTATCGGTTTGGACTATTCCTTTTAACCTTGAGTTTTGGATTATATTAATTGGTATGACAATAGACGAAGTATTGATTTTTTTTCTTCTTTGTTCCTGACTTTTTCTCAAGTAGTTTATGTATGATAAAATTTTATTATCTAAAAATATTTCTGAAACATTAATCGACTTTTAGTTAAGGATAAATATGTAAATATCCTAAGTCTGAAATTCTTTTTCGGTTTAAACTACACATACATCGACCCTACAAATATGATATTTGTCAAATTCTCTTGGACATTATCATTTTGAACTTTTTATATTAATTGGTATCACAACCTAAGAGATTAATGGGAATAGAAGACATGATGGAATGCTTTTTGATTTCATGGGAATATAAGACATGTTTTTTTTTTTTTTTTAAATCTTATCATTAAAAGAGATTTAAGCCGAATAATAGATAATAAACCAAATCAAGTTTCAGCCTTTTGAATTTACAAAAACATATGTCGATAAATTAGACTTATATTAACAACTACTGGAGCAAGTTGTAATGGAGCGAACCCTGATTAGATGCAAGATTGGAAGTTTATAACTTTTGACACAAGATATTCCGTACATCGCACGAACATAGAGCCTAGTTATATTAAAAGCACGCGCCCTGAGCAAAATGTCGTTCGCCTTTTTTACCTTTTAAAAATGGAGTTCATATTGGACAAAATAGTCATATCAAATTATTTTTCTAATATTTAGGAATAACATTTAATTAATTGTCTAATATTTAGGAATAGCTATTTAATTATTTTCAGGGAGTTTGATTTCAAATAATCTTTGTTAATAATATTTTCCATATTTGAACTAGGTAGGAATTCAAAATCAACTTAGTTCTACTTATAAATATGGTACTATATTTTGCATCCGATAAAAACTAAATATGCACAATCTTGACATGCACTTTCAAAGACGTTTTTTTTGATATTGAAAGTTGTTATTAAACTAAGACAAACTAAAGGCAATTAAAATTTTATTAAATTTAAATTCATAAGAAATTTGGATTTAATCTCAAATTAAATATATTTTGGCCCAAATAAATATTATGGGCTAATATATATTGACTTAATTATTTAAATCTAATTAAATTGATTTAAATAAAGGTCCAATATTATTGGGTTATCCCATTTAGTTGGGCTAAAGTGATGAGCCCACTTCATTAAGCCAAGATGCCATCTTCCTAGAGGCCCAATTTGGTGCCACATGTCATATGACGTGGCACGTCAAGTCAAGCGGAAGAGCCAATAGGATCATGTTACGTGTCAAAATGACAAGGCATGTCAAGTCACATTAAAAAGCTAATGAAATTGCGCCACGTGTGTAAGTGACATGTTATGACCAATCAAATGCGGCTTTGTCACACTTCGATTTGATTGGTCGGAAAGAGTTAGTTCTTATCATAACTCTTCCCTCCCACAACTATAAATAGGGGTCTTCATAGCCCAGAAAAGAAACCAGAAGTTATAACAAGAAGCAAGAAATAGCTCGTGGATCAAACGCTGCAAATTCCTCCATAAGTTTCAAGCTTCAAGCAATCAAGTTTAAGTTCAACAAATCAAATTCAAGCTCAAGAACGAAGAACAAATCAAGTTCAAGCTCAAGAACGAAGAACAAATCAAGTTCAAGCTTAAGAACTAGAACAAATCAAGATTCAAGGAGTACGAGTTCAAATCAAAGTTCGTGCTAGTTAAATTCAAGATCATCGTCCATGACAACAAATATAGGTTCGAGATCAAGCTCAAAGGCCCTTGAATTTATTTACTATTGAAAAGAAAAATCAGAGGATCCATAGAGATTGTAAGACTCAAATATTTGAAATACAATACTACGATTGTTGCAAGATTTTTTTGTCTTGATTTTATTTTCTCGAAGCAAATTTATTGTCTACACAAACAAAATGTAATTAACTTATCAATTTCTAATTGAAACACATATATAATATATAACAACATTACCCATTTGTTTGATATTACACGTCTTTTATCACTAGATAAGACTTTTTCTACGTCTTTTACCACTAAATAAGACTTTTTCTCAAGAATTTAAGTTAAAGAATAAGTAAAAAGTAGCTATTATTTGTGGTAGGTTTAAATTACTTGTAGAATTATAAGCAATTAATTATATCTTAATAAGACATAGAAAAATACTTTTTTGTGAAAAAAAATATGTTTGATTTTTTGGAGTATATAATAATATGTTCATTACTGTTTAATCTAACACTCCTTCTATAAATTTTATGTACTAAAATCTAAATACACGTTTTATTAAATACTATAATTAGATATAAACTAACGCATTATCCATAATTATAATACTCTTTAGCTTAATGTCAACTTCAAGAAATACTTTCAAAATAACACATGAGAATTGAATGTCAAATATGGGTAGACATGCTAAGAGTGTTGTAACGACCCGGTCGGTCGTTTTGAGAATTATAGCCTCGATCCCCTATTTAACTGTTTCTTCCATATTTATTTCTGCTATTGTGACTTATCGGGAAGTTTCGTTTTGATTTTTGGAGTGTTTTGGGACACTTAGTCCCTAA